AGCAGTTTCCTCTTCACATGTTAGCTGAAAAATATCAAATTAGCACAAAGACAAAATACATTTAATTGCCAAAATACAAACATACAGAATTAAGCCCCGCACTAAAACTCCCACTAATCATGGGTGGCAGCAATGATGACTATAGTACAAATCATTCCCAATATGTACCAAAGAAAAAAGAAGTTACTTACGCAAATCCCAATGCACATTTATATAGCAGGAGGTTTTTAGTATCAATCCAGTGGCCATTAAAGTGTAAGCTCATCTGCCACGTCAAGACAAGACCAGTTAGGTAAGTCATACACTAACAACTCACCTTGATGCTTTCAGATAAAAGGCAAAATCTCTAATGAGACATAGAGGGGTATTGTTTTGTTTCTGTTTTCTTTTGTATTACACAGCCATGTTACAGTGCTGCCGCCCACGCCATGTGTACCCTATTAAGGGTTAATATGTGTGCAGAGGTTTAAAAAAAAAATTCACTGAAATTCCAAACCAGTCAAGAGATATACTGAGAAACTAGAGTGCAGCAATGACTTCAGCTCAAAGAGGACCCACCAGATCAATATGGCGACGCCAATGAGGTATAGGTCCAGGTAAGTAAACTTACTTTTACCTGCTCCCATCAGCTACTGGACTGGACCGAATTTGGCAAAGTCCTCAAATAGTGATAGTTTTGCTTTTAATCTACATAAGGATTTGGGATAGCGTGCAAGTAACTTTTTTCTTGGTTTTAATAGCCAATATAGCCTACACATTGTTTTCTCTTTACACACTCATTAGCATTTGTATATCCCATGTGTTCCCTATTAAGGGTTAATAATATATAGGGGTGTAAATAAAAAATACCCCTTTCTGTCTCAGAGATCTTTGCCAGAAGCTCAAGGAAGCAAGGTGAATGGTTAGAGTTAGGACCCACATGGGGGGGTCTGCCTTGACGTTTTCAGGTGGGCTTATCCTCTCATGGCCATTGGAGGCAACTAAAAAAACTCCATTTGTTTAAAAATACATAGGGATTAAGAAGAGAGTGCAGGTAAATTGTTTTTCTTTAGCATTTGTATATCGCTAACATATTATAATCATATACATTATAATCCAATTGTTACGCATCTTACTATTTATCATAATTAATAGCTATTATTTAGGTATGAGTTGGCATTCATCTTCATTAGCTCCTTTAATTGCACTGTGGAAGTGAGGAATGTGGTACAATATGGTACATGGGTTTATAACACATTGCCACAAGTTAGTTTTCACTAGTAATAGTTAATCTTTGGTACCCCAGCTGTCAAATGCCAAGATGCACAAGCTAATATAGCCATTACTGTCCTATGAATTTATATATCACATAAATCTCTCATAATCAATACAATGAACTTTAAACTAATACCAATGTATAAAAATCATCATACAATTAGTTCCCAGCACTTTTATTTATTTTTTTTACCTTGCTTAAAGGGTTACTCTGGTTTTGGTTAGAGTAAAATTCCCTATCCTGCCCCCCCTCCAAACTTAAAAAAATTAAATAAAGCTTAAAAAATTACCTCTGTTCCAGTGCCAAAGGAAATGCGTGAGGCATGGCAGGGAGGCATGGCTGGGGGGAAGACAAGGGTGGCACAGAGGAGGGGACCAATCATCACCCGTCAGCCTGCATGCTGACAACAGACATCCAATATGCACAGAATTGATATTGGTGAGCCTGGAATTCTCGTTCTGGGTTGGCTACTGAGACCCCAGTGATGCTGCTGGAGGTGGGGTTAAACTCTGCATGTGCAGCATTTCATAGCTAAATTCTGCACATAGAATCCAGGCACCATGACCACTTCAAATCACTGAATTGGTTATGGTGCTTGGAGTAACGCTTTAAGTGAAAATAAGGCACTTACCCCTAAATATACCCAAAGTGTGTCAAACACATCTCTAAAGTGAGTAATGTACCACAAAAATATGACCCTCAATATTCTTTACATAATGGTTTGTAATACATTTGCCATTGTATTATGTAAATGCATAATTCTCTCACATATGATGTTATACTATTTTCAGATCAGATAAATCAATTATGTATCCAATTAATCAGTTAAAATTCATAGCACTGTGTTTCTTAATTGAGTTATTTTTTTGATTGCCCTGACAATAGCTGTAGGACAGAATGTTTGCCCTCTTTTGCCGGTCAGTTCATCTCTGACTTTTTAATTATTGACCTTACTTTGTAAGTAGATTATCCATCCATTCTGTACAGGCAGCCACCGAATGAATTACTTTTTCACCCTGTCTCTTTGAACTTTGATTTTCCTTCTCATTCTTTAGGCAAGTGCGTGCGATTTTATGTGCACTTTTTAAACAAATTCTGCTACTTTGTGCTTTATGTCTCACGGACCAACCTCATCTTCATCATTTTTTTCTTACCATTTTACCTTTTGAATTACATTCAGGCATTAATCACAGACGTCAACTGAGAATTTGCAGAGATTCATTTGAAGGTAATGTCAAGATAATAGAAAAATTATAGTCAACGAGGAGATATCGAGTTGATCACCATTTGAATTTGGATGAAGCCATTTTGGTAATAAGGAAGCATGACTGGTTTGTTAATATTGTCAGTAAAATTATGCTCAACAATAGCATAATGAAAACCTTTATTCAGCTGAATTAAATTAAAAAAGGCTTTTAGACAATTATAAAACACTGTTTAATGCATTATTTGATTATTCAACAAGACAGGAAAAAAGTTAAAAAGATAACATGGATGAACTGAGCCGTTATCAGTTGCTATTTGTTTGCGCAATTAGCGAGGTATAAGCAACTACTATTTCTGTAACCTGTATTTCAGGATTGTCAACTTTAACAGAACACTCAACACACTATTTCAACTTCATTTCATTGAACTGGTTATAGTGCCTGGACTCCCCTTTTGTCATACCTCGTGTTGTATTAGACTATTTTTAAGGACATAGCATACTGGGGACCCTCACTTTTCACTTTGAAAACAGTATAACACTGTACAGAGAAACACTGCCAGAGGACTTCAGGGACTATGTGTATCCTTTCAAAATATCTAAGGCTCTTAATTGATTAATAATAATTTAGGAAATAAGCTAATTTAATTTAGCTATTAACAGCTATTATATAAAATACATTTTCAATGTTTCCACCATAATCCAGCACCAGATTATCTTGTAAAGAACTGATTCAACAGGGCAGGGTGACAAAAGCAAAGCTATTTTTTGTGTATTGGGTTTATTTAGCCTGCTAACAGATAACAAATAAATTAATTTACCATCTCTGTAGTTAGTATTTCAGTCTGATTAAAGTAGTAAAGTAAAGTTTTTTGTTACAACTGGGATAAACTTTCTAAATTTCTCATAATAACTTCATATGTATTATACACTGACTGAAGCTTTAATTGCACAAGTGTAGTTTTATTTTTTTACCTTTCAATATGTTTTGAAAAAATAATAATGTATACTTTACTTCAATTACTTTAAGAGTCCCATTGTTATTCCTGTTTCTGTTCTATATGCATTTTCATTACCGCTGTTTGAGGCTGCGAAACTTAACTGCAGTATGCCAATCTAACTAATTTCAATGCAATACAATTTCCTTAAGCAAATAGTTGAAATTTGATATGGAAATTTAATCAACAAACATTATTGCATATAGAAAGGGCTCTTGATATGCCAGCACTAAAACAAGATTTAAATTAGAATTATAATTTAATTTCTTGGGTTTTTTAATTTGATTATTTTAAACGAATATAGTTCCATTCGATATGGTGACACTTAATATTATGTGATAATTTTTATTCATGTGTCTGTTAGGTTAGATTGTGGGAAGGATTTAAAATATAGCCTTTACAAACTTCCCCGCATATCTTTATTTTTATTCTTACCTTGCCACATTTACCATAGCACTGGGCCTGAAAATGTGGTTTGCCATTGCAAAAAAAAAAAGTCCTCTTAAGTTAAAATGAAAGGAACTGCCACTAACCTAACATAAACAAAGACAAAATCTGTGACAGCACATTGAAATTGTTACAAAACTACTCAAAGAGTTACTATAAGTGTATATACAATTTTTTTGTGAATTTTTTATTTTGTAGTTTTTTGTTCAATTTTTTTTCTGTGACTGGTGGCAGTCTTAGGTTATTATTGTAGGCATGTGTTAACATTGTGGCACACCTATGAAAGGTGTGTTTGCCATCACCTTCCTATGAATAAGTTTGGGATTCCATTTGAGACATGTAAGGATGTGGCGGTGTTTCTTTGTTCTGCTCGTGTCACAAGGGCCTATGGGTTCTCATGGCGACTTTATTTTGGCTATGTCTGTAGATACAAATATCCATCTCACTATCTATCCTAGCTGTTCATAGAAGGGAAGAGAATAAATAATATAATAATTATAAAAGGAACCATACTATGGGACGAGGTCACCCTATTAACTCGTTAAGGGGTTAAACTCATTTTTGATAAGCATATAAAATTTAGTTTTTGTAGTTAGACTTTTGATACTCAATTTGAACTCAATTGAAGTATTACAACCATATCCTTGCAGGTATAGGAAACAGCTGCAATATGATTTTAATATTTGCAATATATTAGTGTTTTCAATGTATTCTGACAATGGAAAAGTACCTAACCGCATGTCTGCATTACACCTATGACCCAGACTGTCAGTATTGCAAACCCTATATGAAGACTCTGCTTTCACTGTTTATGTATACACCCCTAGACAACCGTGCTATACATATACAATAAATCTTCAAAAGCTTATTAATATTATATCTGTGTGGTACACAAAGAGGTGTACACAAAGAGGGGGTGTGAGTTAGGTAATCTCGACCTTCATATGGAATATGCTTCCTCCTTGTTCACTTTTGGTCAAACTGTTGGTCTGTGACTGGCCCTCTTTGACCCCAACTGAATTTCTTGGGAAGATTCATGAGAAAGATACAGCAGGTTGTTTTGATATAAAGAAAGAGGGAAAAGTATGTTGTATCGGTCACAAAGGATTGTGATCTTAAGCAGGCGAGACAAGGACATTTGGGAGGTGATAGGAGATTGAATCAGAAAAGTTTTAGAGGCAGAGGTAGAGGATTTGATCAAAGGGTCTAACTTTTGTAGAGGTGGTAACTTCAGCACTGTTTTAATTATGGATAGCAGGGATTCACCCCAAGGTGCTCGTGGTGAACCCGGTTCTCCCGGTCAAGCTGGCCCCACTGGTATTGCTGGTGCCCCTGGCTTCCCTGGTGCCTGTGGTGCTCCTGGACCTCAAGGCCCCAGAGGTTCCCCTGGACCTAAGGGTAACAATGGTGAACCTGGTGCTCAAGGAAACAAAGGAGAACCCGGTGCTAAGGGAGAACCTGGCCCAGCTGGCGTTCAAGGACCCACCCTGGCAGGTTCCTCAATACCAACCACAGCTTCCAACCTATACCCACACCCAACAACCCCAGCCTAATACACAGATGGTTCATGTTTTTAATACCTTATATATAGTTTTGAGTGATAAAACAGTATTAATGCTGGCTCTTAGAGGATGTACAAGCTGAAGTTGGGACCTAGACATTGTTTGCATAGGCTGCGCAATGTGAAATAACTAAAATAAAATAGGATAATAATAAGTATGCTTAGTCAATTTGTAACGTGGTATCATAGAGGCATCTGCAATTAAATAAGTGGGTTTCCAGGACCTGACAAGTGAGTGAGGGCAGCTTAATATAACATATGTCTACAGTTTGCTGTCCCTTCCTTATCAGAGGCCATTTGCAACCTTAACACAGCAAGACAACTCTTCCGAAACCTGTATTACACAAAGCACTTTAGAACAATAGTAATTCATTTTGTTTCTCCTATTTCATTTCTTGTTGTTCTGAAAAAAAAAAAGATTGTTTAAGTGAGATAACTGTACAGTATTAAAACATGATCACACACATTCAGAACTGGTGGCTTTTTGGACATCGGGATCTATAAAAGGTTTCGGTTTCAAAAAATGTTATCGGGGTCCACAAAATTTTTGACAGACTTCAGCATTCCAATTTTATTAAAGTAATTAATTGAGATTATCAAATCAAGGTTTAAGTTTAAGAACAGCATTTTATTGGGAATTATTCCAATATGTATATGTTAGTGTTTTAGTACTCATCCTGTCCAACAAGCATTTATATAGTGTAAGTGCTTCTCTCATCCATACAAAAGCCATTCCAAAGGGTAATTGTGTACAAATTCATACAGGACAAATTTCATGAATTATAAGCAAAGCAAAGCTAAGAGAAGTACATGTTACACAAGTTAAGGATTTAACTTTAGTCTCTAATTTGAGTTTAGCCTAGATAATTAATTTATTGATGTCGTACTGATCCTTGTGTTTGTATGATTATAGAGACCGTACTGGAGTATTTGTGCCACCTGATTTTGGGACTACACACCAATCGCTCTGGCTGACCTACCTACCTACCTATTTGCAATTAAATTTGTTTGGTCAAAATCCATGCTGGCCGAAGAAACTGAGATGCTTACTTATGAGGACATAAACTAACTTGGAAAGTCCTGAAGGTGCAGTGCTGTCTAATGCCGCTATTTCTGTATAAACCCTTTCAACAATTGGGGTGTTGCACAGAGCATTTTGATGAACATCCAGCAAACAGAAGAATTAAGAACTATGTGGAAGCTGACATTGTCTTGTTGTCAGCCATATTGCTATCCTTAACTATGTTATGGTGTCTAAGATTATGGAACAAAGTTTATGGTGTCTAAGATTCTTTATACTCCTTGAAAGACTTATTCTATTTTTCTGGACTATGCTGGACTATTGAACTATTTTTTTATTTTTATTTTTGTAGAGTTAGCCAGAGAGAGAGGAAGTGTTAGCTTACTCTGGCATGGATGTACTATGTGTGTCATTGATGTATGTTGAGTGTACCAAGGATGGATTCCCATTTATTAAGTGTGGATATGACTGGACCGTCATAATAGGGATGTGATTAGGAGACATAGGATGCAAGGTCATGATTGGGATTATTGTTAGAATTGAAAACTGATCATAAGTTATCTCATGATTTAATATGTAAATGGCCTTTTCAAACTAATCAAGATTTGTTTCCCAATCCCGATACCCAAGCTATTTACTCACAGGTGCGGGTTTTATGTCACTAATGCTGTCAACGTGAGGGGATGACATGTCTACAAAGTTATGGCCCTCACTCAGGGTTTCCCCAGATGTGTTTTTTTCTCAAATATGAGTTTTTGCCACTGGGTTTTTTTTTTACCTGGCCCCAGATCAGCGGGTGGACTGGTAATCCAAGACCCTGGTCCAAAGAGGGGGAATATTATTCCCATTTTGACTATATGTGTTTACGTTGTGAATTATAATAATAATATTCCCGTTGTTGGGAATAATACACTTGCCTGTATTGACCCAAGGCTCAAGCTACAGATAACATGATGTTCAGTCTGTTTAAAAATGATTAACATGTCAGCTGTTTGAAATATTTAACTTGTACGCTTAAAATATGTATTCAACAGATAATTGAAAAAGCTGAAAATTGACAGCTCGAACTCCTCTTAAAGGGAAAACCTACGGCACAGAGCAAATGGGGGAAATCGAGGTGAAGAAATAATGAAAGTCCCGCAGACGTGATCCTTTCGTTTCTCTGCCGCAGGCCTCCCATGGATATTTTCCGTAAGGTAGATCATGATATGATCTAAGAGGGGAATTGTAGATACAAATATCCATCTCACTATCTATCCTAGCTGTTCATATAAGTGTTAATTTAAACTTGGAATTGTATCTTTGATTCTGGGAAGTAATTTATCTAATAACATTTACGAGAATGACCATACTGATTTCGAAATGTTCTTGTTAATTGTCCAAGATTTGGGTATTTGTAAATATCTGTTTTTTATCAAATATACATGCGTTATATAACGTAGGATATAACAAGAAACAGCTGCTTATAACTTGTGCAAAACAATCTACGTCATTGTCACGCCTTTATGCTCGTACTCATGAAAACAGGGTATAAATATAACTGACATAGGAATAAAATTTGAATTGGTTATTGAACACGTCTCTGTCTTCTTAACTGATTTCCAGGATCCTGTTTCCTAAGAGGGAGGGGCTCAGCCAGTATTCATCAAGTCTTCGTGTATAGCTGATTTTATCCCCAACATTATAAACCTTTACTGCCTGTCCTGACCTCTCTTTTGCCTTGGACACCATGCTTGGACTTTATTAAAATGTATTTATTTTTATTTTAGTAATAAACACTCTTTGCCCCAACAGACCTCCTAGGATCATAGCCTCACCTCCAGATCCCCTAGAGGTTGTGCTTGTAATGGTGTCCTGTCTCTCTGCTATTGAATTCCAGATTCTGATTATTATAAATATTATTTATATAGTGCCAACAAATTCTGTTGTGCAGTACAATGGGTGGACTAAAACATAATTGTAACCAGACGAGTTGGACACACAGGAACAGAGGGATTGAGGGCCCTGCTCAAAAAGATTACATGTTAGAGGTAGTGGGGTATAGTGGCACAAAAGGTAAGGGTATGGTAGAAAAGTAGATTGGTAGAATAGTATTCACTGAAGACTTAGTGCGAGGGCAAGAGCTATTAACAAATTAATTCATATGCTTTTATGAAGAAGTGAGTTTTCAATGATTTTATAAGGAATGGAGACTGGGTGAGAGTCTCAGGAGAAGAGAGGAGTGTTCCACAGGAACGGTGCAAGCATAGAGAAGTCTTGAAGGAGAACATCAGAGGTGGGAGTACGAACAGAGGATAGATCTAGCAGGTCAGTGGCACTATGACTGAAGACTGGAAAGTGGCAATAATAAAGCAGCAGCTTTAATTTTGGACCAAACCTTGTGAATTATTTGTTCCAACATCTGCGGAGCTAGTGTTTGGTGTTCATGCGATGATTCCTTCACTGCATTGCCCAGTCCAGAAACAGCGTGGTGTGAGTCCAGTGGAATTTATCAATAGTGATCTCAGATGGATAGATAGATTGATAGTAGATAGACAGAGGTATATGTTGGATAGAATGATAGATAAATATAGGTATATGATAAATTGATAGATAGATAGATATACGTTTATAATGAAAAGATTGATAGCCATAGATATAGATAGATAAATAAATAGATAAATATAGATATATGATAGATAGATAAATATTGATATATGATAGATTGATAGATAAATATATGATAGATTGATAGAAATATAGATTGATAGATATAGGTTTATGATAAATATATTGATAGATAAAGATACAAATATATATAGATAGATAAAAAGATACTGTATAAAGCTATAGATATAAATACATTTACCACTACTACAGTATTTTTGAGTAGTCTTTGAAATTCTGTCAAACTGTGATCAAAGAATTCTTTTACTAATCTTATAGTTTGAGGATACTGCTCTGGGACTCCGCCACCCCCACATTTCCCTTGTGTAATGGATAGTAAGAAACGTTACACTGAGACCATGCCGCTTGATCATTAGTAGAATTGTCACTAAAATCAAACGCATTCTTGAAAATGAGAGACAGTCCAATTCATCATACTGGTAAAAAAAAAAACTATAAATAAATAAATACATTTACTTGCTTTCCCAGTATATATTCTCCAACTTAAGCCTTGGATTAATAAGATTTTTAAAGGATTCAATACTTTTAGGAAAACTTTTCAAATGATTTATCTACAAAAAACTCCCATAGACTTTAACGATAACTTCTGTAGATAAATCATTGGAAAGTTTTTCGAACAGTATTGAACCATATGTGAAGCTTATTAAACCAAGACCCTAATGGTTTACTGTTAATTTTCTGATTAGTTCTTTTTAATACAATCATCAGCTCCTGAATGTTCTGCTGCCTCCCTATGTCTAAATTCCAAATGTTCTTCTCAATTTACTTTTTTTCTGCTGTAACATGGATTAATAAAATAGATTTTTAACTGTCATTTCGTTTTTCCCTCTGACCCTTCTATAGTGCCTCTATTATCTTCAGTTACCTATCCTCTAACTGCTCAAATCTTGGTTTGGTTGTTGCCTTGTGTGATATCTGTTCTTCATGTATTCGTTTTACTACATTAATTACCAATTATCCTTGTCCTGAAGTTTATGGAGATATGGGATATAATATATATATATATATATATATATGTGTCTCTTTTTGTGCAAAATGCGTATGTGTCCTCTTTCTTGTTAACTAACTTATTCGCTATCATTTAAAAGAATAAAAAAAGATATGGAAATAGCATAATATGTATTTAAAACATTGGATGAATAGCTAGCACATAATTATTGGACAATTGCTGTTTAGGGATATCTAGAAATGAAATCAAGTATGTTTACACAATTATATTTTTTCTTTTTTATCCTGTGAAAAATAAAATTGGGAAATAAAATGTTAGGAATCTGAAATAGTATCTTAGAAAATAAAATACCTTTCTTTATGATATGTAGTAGGCATGATCAAACTAGACAAATAAAATGACCAAAAACCCTGCTTCTGAGTATTTGTAAGGAACAGAATGAATTCATGGTAAGGCAGCATTCAGAAATGCCACCATGAAAATATAAAAAATAATGTTTGAAAGTTGATATAAAGACCTTAAACACATGTGAACATACATATAGACATATACTA